ATTGATGTTAAACTGGGTTAGTTACTGTAGAAAGATTAGGATTCCTATGCTCCATCCACTGAAGTTAGTTTTCAGTACTAGGAAACAAATATGTATCTCAGGTGGATGAATATTTCTGAAAATAGTCTAGTGAAACATTGATTATAAATCCACATATATGAACATGAATAAATGTAGGGATTGTATAATTAGACACATATATTTCATATTTTGCAAAATCTGGAGAGTGTGTGTGCGTATATATATACAGACAAAACACACACAGACATTAAAAAGTTGAAATATATATGCCAATGAAAATTCACTATGAAATATATATCATCCACCGATCCATAAATATTTATTTTACTGAACATGGATTTATGTATCATGTTGTTCAAGTAGGAAGCTCACCCAAAGGTAGAATTTTCATTTCAAACAGCGTTTAGGAGAAGTGATTTCTTCTCACAATTTGTATCTTCCAAGTCAGCCAACTCACAAGAAGGTATGTGGGATACAAAGTAGAATTCTATATGTGCATAAAAAATACATGTGATTAATAGGCTACAGAGAAATGGAGACAGGAATTCACATATTTGTTAACTTAAAAACAAACGGAGAACTATTTCTATTAATTTCGACTAGATTTATAACACCTACCTTTTATAATGCAAAAGGCAAGTGCAACTATACACCATGACTCCTCTGAACTGCTTGTATTTATATTCTGTTTGGGTTATTTTTCTCCATCATATTAGGATTCGTAGTCAAAGTTTAGTAGGGTATAAGTTAGTGTCAGAGATTCAGTTTTTAAAATGGAAAATATGAAAATGAATCCAATGTGTATGCAAATACGGACTACACAAAAAATCTTGGACAGTACCTTCGTAGCAACTAAGACTCAATTCCAGGAGAAGAGTTAGAAAAGCAGTGAATACATATGCCGAATGGATAAAGCTCAGGAGTTCACAACCTTGGAGGTGGTAGAGAAGTTTCCATAAGGAAGGGACAGGGTAAACACTCCACAAACATGGAGCTCTGCTGGCCTAGAGTTCGTGAGAAACTGCCTCTGAGGTTGGGCACTTGAAATATATGTTGTTGTCAGGAGCTTTAGCTGCCTTTGTAGTAAGACCATCAAAGCTGGGTTTGCATCTATGTGACCTGGAGGACAAGGTTTCTGATTTTCCAATGAACATGAGGGAGAAGTGCTGAATTCTCTCTTTGTAGGTAAACAGTGGCCACTGGAGTCTAAGTGTCTCCCCATGTGGATGTGAAGCCATTTGCTCATCCTCTACTTGTCGTAATGTTTCTTGCTGCTGCACTGGGAGTTTGGTATTTGCTTCATGAAATACAAAAAGTACAACTGGGACACAGTGCTGGAGGGAGTTCTGTCACGTGTGGTGGGTCAGGTTCCTAGGAGAATGCACAAACCAGTCTTCTATCCCAGAGAGCTTGCCCCCTTGACCTTAGCAACCTGATTCTGAACATTGCCCAGAAATCTCTCCATAAAACAGGTCCTCTGGGACCTGCTTTCCCTGGCCCTGCTCCCCTCAGCCCTTTTTCCCCTGTGTCTTACGTCCCCTGGGTCCTTCTCCCCTGGGCCTTGCTCCCCTAGGCCAGGCTCCCTCTGGTGCTGCTTTTCTGGGCACTGCCTCCTCTGGCCCTAATCACCTGGTCCTGATCTCCTTGGGCCCTACTACACCTGGTCCTGCTCCCCATGGTCCTGCTTTCAAGCACACTGCTCTCCCGACCCTGCTCCTACTGGCCTTTCTACCCTGAACCCTGCTCCTCCCTGGGCTAAGCTCTCCCTTGACCCTGCTCCCCCTGGACATGATCTCCCCAGAGCTGTGCTCCCTCTGGTTCTAATTTCCTGGGCCTTTCTCCCCATGGCATTGCTCCCCATAGCCTCTCTTCCCCTGGCCTAATCCCCTGGTCCTGCTATCCTTGGGCCCTGATTCACCTTTTCCTGCTACCCATGGCCCTGCTCCCCATGGGCACAGCTTCCCGGGGCCCTGCTCCCTCAGGTCCTGCTTTCCTGGCCAGTGCTCCACATAACTCTGCTCCTCTGATACCTGTTCCCCCTGGCCCTGCTACCGTGGGCCCTGAAACCCCTGTGTCCTGCTACCCCTGGCCCTGCTCCCATGGGCTCTGCTCCACTGGGCAATGCTCCCTCTGGTCCTGATTTTTTGGGCCTTGTTCCCTCAGGCCCTTCTCCCTTGGGCCCTGCTTTCCTGGGCCTGATTCTCCTAAACCTGCTCTGCTGGGCACTGCTCCTGCTGAGCCCTGCACTTCTGAGCCCTGCTCCCCCTGGTCCCTTCTCTCCCTGGGCGCTGCTCCCCCAGGCCCTTAACCACTTACTCTGCTACTCCAGGGCCCTGTTTCCCCTGGCCCTACTCCCCCTTTCCCTGCTCTCCTGGGCCCTGCTTCTCCTGTCCCTGTGCCCCTGGGTCATGCTACTCCCAGGCCCTGCTTCCCTGTGCCCTACTCCCCATAAACCCTTCTTCCCTTGGGCCCTGCTCCCCTGGTCTTACTCCTCATGGGCCCTGCTCACCAGGCCCTGTTCGTCCTGACCCTGGTCCCCCTTGGCCGTACTCCCTGAGCCCTGCTCCCCTGGGTTCTGCTCCCCATGGGCCCTGCTTCTCCAGGCCCTGCTCCCCCTGGTACTGCTCACCCTGGGCCCTTCTCCCCCTGGCCCTGCTCCCTCTGGCCCTTTTCTCTCTGGATCTGCTCCCCTGACTCTCCTTCCCTGGGCCTTGCTCCTCTGGCATCGTGTCTCCCTGGTCCTACTACTCTGGGCCCTGCTATCACTGTGTACTGTTCCTCCTGTACCTACTCCCCTGAGCCCTGCACCCATGATTCCTGATCCCCATGGTCCTACTTTCCCGGACCCTGCTCCTCCTGGCCCTGTTCCCCTGGTCCTACTCCACCTTGGCCATGCTCCCTGAGCCCTGCTACCCTGGGTACTGCTCCACCTGGGCCCTGCTTCCCCTGGGCCCTGCTCCCCCTGGTCCTGCATTTCTGGGCCCTTATTCTCCTGACCATGCTCCCCTAGGCCCAGCTCCCCCGAGCCATGCTCCCTGGG